TCAGTGAAATATTATTTCTTGAAACGGGAAGACTGAAGAGGTAACGATGATATGATAATATTATTTTACTTATTTATCTAAAAATGTTTTGTTTTTCGTCAATCGTGGTAGTCTCCCTTCTTCTTTCAGCCTGCATTCGGCATTTTTACAAGAAAAATGAAATATGCATCAAATAATTTCAAGTGGGTTTTGCCTTAAGGGATAATGATACATCCTGTTTTATCTTAAGCCTAAGTATTTTGTTTTGTACCTTTAAACTCAATCATCTTTATATATTTATCTTCTAGACTGACAATTTTGTTTTGTACCTTGGAATTCTCAAATACAGTACAGAAGTTAGTGGATCCCCTTTAAACTTTTCTAAAAATCCCAATTTACCTATATTTATCTCCAAGCCTAACTATTTTATTTTGTACATTGGAATCTAATATTGTTTATAGATTTATCTCTAAGCCTAAATTCTCAAATACAATACATAAGTTAGCGGTCCCCTTTAAATTTTCTAAAAATCACACCCTCTCTCTCTCTCTCTCTCTCTCTCTCTCTTTTATTTAATCCCCCCTCTCTCACATCCTTTGCTCTCTTACTTTCATTCGTTAATTCTCATGAGCCCATAAATTACTCCTCAACTCCATTGATATATAGAGTTTGATTGCTCAATTTTGGTGGAAATTCGTCACTTTTTTTATATTTTAAAATATATTTTTTGTCCTTTGCTCAACTTTTGAATTTGTAGCATTAATTTAGTATTTTTCTTCATCAAAATTATTTCATATTATTGTTTATTATAGTTAATATGAAAAATTAATTCTAAAAGTATTTTTCTTCATCAAAATTATTTCATATTATTGTTTATTATAGTTAATATGAAAAATTAATTCTAAAAAAAAAATCAAAATATTGATTTTAATTTTATTATTGTTTATTATAGTTAATATGAAAAATTAATTCTAAAAAAAAAATCAAAATATTGATTTTAATTTAAGAATTAGGTTTAATTTCATTTTTTATAATAAACAGAGATGAATGAAGATTTGTACTTTACTTTCATAAAAACTCACTATACTTCACCAAAACATGAAATACTTACAGAAATATCTAGTATTCTTTCACCTAAACCTGCTATACTTATAGAAAAACATGTTGTACTTGTAGGAAAATTTGCTATACTTTCACCAAAACTTGCTATACTTACAGAAAACCTGCTATACTTTCACCAAAAATTTGATATACTTGTAGAAAAACATGCTATACTTATAGAAAATCGGCCATGCTTTCACTAAAACCTGCTATACTTATAGTACTGGTGAAAGTATAGCGGGTTTGGTGAAAGTATAGCGGGTTTGTTGAAAATATAACATGTTTTGTTGAAAATACACCGTAAAAATCTTCATTCATATATGTTTGTCACAAAAAAATAAATAAAATGTGAAAATTTTATAGAAAATAGTCAACTTAAACCAAATTTAACAAACTATGAAATTCGATATTACAAAAAATAAAAAATAATAATTATGAAATTAAAATTATACTTCCAAAATTAAATCATAATTCTAAAATTAAAATTAAAATTTTTATTTTTTAGTATTATTTTTGGTATTAATCGTAATAAACAAACGTGAAGATTCATGAATAATAATGTGAAATAATTTTTGTGAAGAAAATGAGAAATTAATGCTATAAATTTAAAAGTTAGAAGTTAAGTAAAGGATAAAAATTATACCTTAAATACTAAAAAATGATGAATATACACCAAAATTGAGCAATCAAATTATATTCATTAACGGAGTTGAGAAGAGTGTGTTCTAAAGAATGAAAGAAGAGAGTAAATGAGGTGAGAGAGGGAAGGATTAAATGAGAGAGAGAGGGGGGGGGGACAAAT